TGAAACGAATCTAACAACTGAATGAACAAATTGTTTCCTGCAAAAGCCCACTCCCCATTTGTTCCTCTTTTGTTTCCTATGGGAGGGGCCAATCACCTCCAAAGTGTGGCTTTACTCCTTAGTCGATCCTGCTTTCTTAGTTGTTCTTGTCTTGTGGCAGCTCTGCGCATGCGCACACTGGGATCAGGCTCCAGCTGTTCCTCTGCCTCACTGCTGTCTAGCTCCCTCCTTGCCTCTGACGCAGAGCCCTTGTCTGAGGTTTCCTCAGCCTCCAGGACTGGCCGATGTCCCTCCCCAACCTTCTCACTGTCCGACTCTGCTGGCCACCGGTGGGCCACAACAGTAACATCATCAGTGCTTGTGCATCAGTGCATCACTAGCACTGATGATGTTACCTAGTTTGGGTAATGAAATGTCTGCAAGAAAGAAAGAAAGCTCAGAGAGAACCAAGGATCCCTCATTTCAGAGAGAATTTTGTTGAAAAGATAAGGAGGGTGGAATTTAGGAGAATTTCAAGAGTTGCAAAGGAGACTGTGTCACTTTCCCCCATCATTTTGTATTTTAGGACAAATAAATAACGTATTTTTCAGAGTACAAGATGCACCGGAGTATAAGACGCACCAAGGTTTTGAAGAGGCAAATTTAAAAAAAAGCTTTTTCCACTTTGCAAACCTCCCAAAACGGGCCTGTTTTTCACGCAAATGGGCCTGTTTTTTTTAAAGGGCATGCATAGCCTTATGGAGGCTTATAGTGTGCTCCTGGGGGCTGAGGAGGGGGGCAAAATTGAGCAAAAAACAGCCTGGTTTTTGCTCATTTCTGCCCTCCCCAGCCCCCAGGAGCTCTCTGAAAGCCTCCTACAAGCTACACACGGCCATTGTAGTGAAGGGGCGGGGCTTCAAGAGGCAAAAAATGCTGTATTCAGTGTTTAAGACACACCCAGATTTTCAGCCTCCTTTGGGTAGGAAAAAGGTGCATCTTATACTCTGAAAAATACAGTATGTGCTTGTACGGGTAGATTTACAACCATTTTTTGTGTATGTTCAAAGTTACAACTGCATTGACAAAAGTGACATGACTGTTTTTCACACTTACGGCTGTTGCAAGCACCCCTATGGTCACATGATCAAAATTGGGATGCTCGGCAATTGGCTGATATTTATGACATTGGTGGTGCCCCTGGGTCATGTGATCACCTTTTCCAGCCTTTAGACAAGCAAAGTCAATGGGGAAGCCAGATTCACTTAACATCGGTGTTACTAACTTAACAATTGCAGTGATTCAATTAAGAAATGTGGCCAAAAAAAGGTTGTAAAACAGGGCAAAACACATTTAACAACTCTCTCGCTTAGCAACATAAATGTTGGCTCCATTGTGGTTGTAAGTCAAGGACTACATATTTGGTCTTCTCAAATAATTCATCTCATCCAAATAATTTTTACCTGGAGAAATTTCCATTCTGTCCTCACCCACAGGCCAAGACCACTGGGAAGTGGCCATTGAAGTGGTATGCGCCAGAATGCATCCTGTTTCGGAAGTTTTCAAGCAAGAGTGATGTCTGGAGTTATGGGGTGACTATGTGGGAGGCCTTTTCTTATGGTCAGAAACCCTACAAGGTGAATATGGATGGAATATGGGCTTTTGCTAAGGGAGGGCTCAAAAAAGTTAAGGTGTTGCTGTGATCACACAATTTTAAAGAATGGGGCTGCAACTGTACGATTGTGAAGCCACCTTAAATCAATTTTGTATTTTTGTTATTTTTTAATTGCATGTTTATTGCTTTATGTGGGTTTTCTTAGCAGTTGATAAATACATTTTTATTTTTTGGCTCTATCCCATGGGTGCCTCTGAAGTATTATTATTATTATTATTACACAATTGTATCACAGCGGCCAGTTGTTTCGCCGGATTTGGCATTGGTTACTAGTCGGGCCCCACCCAGGGGCC